TGTTCTACATATGGTTTTTCTCACTATAGTTTCTGAGTTCAGGTATGATATTGAGGTTTTTATTTTGATTTGACTATTGTGCATGGTGTTAAAGATCTAATTTTTTTTTTATGACCAACCAGTTTTTTTTTCCTAGTATTATTGCTTTGGCTATTCAAGGAGGGGGCAGTTATTACTCCCTTTAAATTTCAAGTTTTTATCTGTTTCTTTGAAAACTGTCATAGGTATCTTTATAGAGACTGCATTTAATTTGTCTAGTGCTTTGGGCAAGACTGCCATTTTGATAATGTTAATCTACCCACTCACTCCATGAACAGGGATGTGTTTCCATTTCCTCATGTCCTCTTTTATTTCTTTCACTAGGATGTCACTACTTGAACTGGAAAATATGTTGAATGGACTTTGCATCCTAAGACAATAATAGGATCATAATTTCTCAAAAAATGTTAAATAATTTAGCCTTAAAAATAAACAGACAAAAGCTTGAATGTGGGGCTGGAGCAACAGCACATAGGGTAGGGTGTTTACCTTGCATGTGGCCGACCTGGGTTCGATTCCCAGCATCCCATGTCGTCCCCTGAGCACCGCCAGGGGTAATTCCTGAGTGCAGAGCCAGGAGTCACCCTGTGCATCACCGGGCATGACCCAAAAAGACAAAAAAAAAGCTTGAATGTGTCACTAGGTTTCTTTACTCAAAGAACAAGGTGAACAAAAATATGCAAAAAGAAAAAAAACTCTAGGATAGATGCAAGCCTGTATTAAGGTGTTCTCAGGATCAACTTCATTTGGAGTAGAAAGGTGATTTCCCTAAGTCATTTCCCAGGATAACTCAGGGAAAGCTAAGGAAAATACTTTTTAAAGAAAAAGAATCAAATACAACTCAATTTTAATACAAACTGTACTATTTAGTATGCAACATGATTTAATTATGTTTAACCGATGTAAATATATATAAATACCTCATTTTTTTCAGGTACCTTGCCAGTAGGCACTGGGAATTCAGTAGTGAATAAGACTTTAGGAACATCTATTTGGAGAAGTTAACAAACATGCAATTACTTAAGCCACTTACCTGAGCAGGTAAGCACAAGAAGAAATAAAGGGTGCTTGATAGTTCGTAAAGCTACTTTTAAATAAAATGGCCATGGAAGATCTCTTAGGAGGAGAGTGAGAAGATAAGGATGAGAGGATGAAGACTAGGATATCCAAAGAATCAGGAGATGTTAGAATGTTTTATATACAGGGAATAGCAAACACATACCCATGTTATTAAAGGCCTTATGTGACCAAACAGAAAGAAATCCTGTAGCTTAGAGAGCATACACAGCAACTAAAAAAAAAAAATAAACCAAGAAGAAACCTGAACATGGAGGACAGTGTAAGACATTGTAAAGGTCTGGGGTAATGGACTTCAGAAGTTAGAATCCATAATTATGAAAGAAAATACATTGATTTAAGGCAGCAAGTTGGTGGCATTATTATAGCAGCAACAGGAAATTTATACACTTGGGAAGAAAAAGATTGCAACTAAGTCTATCCGCATCCATCTGAGAGAAACAGAACTACTGACAATTGGTGACTTAATTCATTATACAGTGGATTGATTCTCTCAGGGTATATCTAAGACCTCATTCTCCTTGGTTCATCAGGCATGATCAGATTAAAGAGGATAAATAGATACTATTAATTACACTGATTAAAACCTAGCATAAGAGAGACAAAGCACACCACCAAGTGTGCTTATTGGTTTATTCACTGAATTATAAATACTAATTGTATCAGCTTACTCTGATTAGGGACTAAATGCTACCTGATACTGCTCCATGGTTAATATTACCAAATCTTACAGCTCAGTGCACTCATTTCCATGGGATTAGAACATCTATTGTGAAATAGGTATCAATCCTTCTCCCTCCCAGATTGAGATTATAATGAGACAGTCTGCAAATTCTGAGTTTAGGTACCATCTTTCTATAGTCTTTGAAAGTTATCACCATGATGTTTTGGCAATATGTCTTCAGTATGGTACAATTCATCATAGACTTATAGTATCTTCTTATAAACTTGGGTTGCATTCTCACTAGAGAACACATTTATATTCCACCTCTTCATTGACATAGTGATTCATTCAAGACACATTATTCAGCACGTCCTGTGTTAGATATGACACTAGAATGTGACACAATGGCAAGAGAAAAGTCTTATTTACCCAGAATCTTATAGCTTTGGTGGATTAAAAATTGTTATGTATTCTTTTTTGGGGGGGGGTCACACCCAGCTATGCACAGGGGTTACTCCTGGCTCATGCACTCAGGAATTACCCCTGGCGGTGCTCAGGGGGCAATATGGGATGCTGGGAATCAAACCTGGGTTGGTCACGTGCAAGGCAAACACCCTACCCACTGTGCTATCGCTCCAGCCCTGAAATTGCTATGTATTCTTATGGGGTCCAAGTGACAGTATAGTGGGTATGACATTTGTCTTGCAAGTGGCCAACCACTGTTTGATCCTTGGAGTCCCATGTGGTCCCTCAGGAGTTACCCACCAGGAGTAATTCCTGACCGCAGAGCCAGGAGTAACCGTTGAGCACTGCTGGGTGTGGCTAAAAAAATAAGTGAATGAATAAAATAACAGTTCCTATGTGTTCTGTAGAAAGCTGATCTCACCTATTATGATTTTATGAACTTACCTTTGCAAGACAACATACTACCTCATCAAATGTAGGAATAGCTCAGTTGCACACCTATAAACTTTATCAGTTCAAATAAAAAATGTACTTATTGGATAATGTTACATCGTACAGAAGGTAGAGCATTTGCCTTGCATTCTGACTCGTTTGATCCCCAGCATCCCATATGGTCCCCCTCCTAGCCCCCGACAGAACTAAGTTCTGAGCACTGCTGAGTGTGACTGCAAAAGAAAGCAATCAAACCTCAAATTTGACATTTTGCTAGTTTAGTTTGAAAACGCATAGAGCATTTAAAGTTTTCATGTTTACATTCCTACAAAAGAGAAGGTATGGCCATGACTATCAGTCACAGTTGGACACTGAATTGCTACTTCCAAATTATATTTTTGTGGGGCTGGAGGAATAGCACAGCCTTGCACGCAGCCGACCCAGGTTCGATTCCAGCATCCCATATGATCCCCCGAGCACCGCCAGGAGTAATTCCTGAGTGCATGAACCAGGAGTAACCCTTGCGCATCGCCATGTGTGAACCAAAAAAAATATATATATATATATATATATATATATTTTTTTTTTGTGGTAAAACATCATTGACCACAACTTATGCTCCTCTTTTCAAGACCAAACTCTAAATGATTCAAGAAACCAGTAAAAAAATGCGTCACCAAGGGACTGGAGCGATAGTACAGCAGGTAGGGCATTTGCCTTGCACGTGGCAGACCCAGGTTCAATTTCCAGCATCCCATATGGTCTCCCCGGAGTACTGCCAGGATTAATTCTTGGGTGCAAAGCCAGGAGTAACCCCTGTACATTGCCCGGTGTGACCCAAAAAGAAAAAAAATGTGTCACCTACCCAAGCTTAGAAGAGTTGTACACTTCAGCTATGCAGCTAGGAGAGGCTTCACATGATGTTCTTCTGTATGATTTTTATCTAAAGTCAGGCAATCTTCCCTTATTGGTTTGGTGGTTTCTGTGATTTAATCAGCGCTGTGGTTTGGAAGTTAATATAAATTAGAAACTGATGTTTAAGCCAGCAAGACAAGTGGAGGAATCATTTTCTGTGCATGACCCAGAACAAATCTTGGCATGTTTTCTTCTTTTAAAAAGCTAGTCAAATTTTATGTCGTTAGTTTTCCAAGTTCTAAAATTCAGGAGTTCCTTGAAAACCTCTAGAAAATACGATCACAAAAAGATAAAGCCCCTTTAAATCGGCTACTTAGTTAATACACAGAGCAGACCTCTGAGAGAGTTTCTGATGCTTCCTGGCATGGGAGGGAGGCGGGGCGGGAAAGAACTTTCTGGAACCTGATCCCTCAATGGTCCTCAGGCCAGTGGGCTTTTATCTGCATTGCTACCTGCCTGTCCCACCCAGGAACTCTAGCCTGAGTTTCCCTCCTTCAAACAAATGTGTTGCTGAACTGAATCTATTTTATTTTGACTTTTATTTTATTTATTTATTTTGCTTTTTGGGTCACACCCAGCAATGCTCAGGGCTTACTCCTGGCTCTGTACTCAGGAATCACTCCTGGCAGTGCTCAGGGGACCATATGGGATCATGGGAATCGAACCCGGGTCGTCTGTGTGCAAGGCAAACGCCTTCCCTGCTATGCTATCGCTCTAGCCCCTTATTTTGACTTTTCAAATGAAAGTTGACTGTCTGAAATTCATAGCAGGTGCTTTATTCTTTGCTTTTGAGTCGAATCATTCCATATCAGTGTCCCTTAATTTCCTGTAGATAATTAGCTTTAAAAAAAAAAAAGTATGATGTCTTTATTAACTTGAATGTTAAAGTTGCATTTTCTTTGTAATTTATGTGTAATTTATGAATTGAATGCATTTTTTTAATTAAGAATGGATTCTGGATTATGCATGTTTGGGTCAATGAAAGCTGTGTCTGATTTATCCTTTAAAAATAAGGTTCCCTGAATATTTGCTAATAAAAGAAAAAGATAAACCCCTTTAGTTGTAAGAAATGAGATCCATTTTATCAACATTCTTGTTTTTAGGGAGGAACGTTTAAATGGGAAGAGGCACTGTTAAATACAGACACACAGAAAAATGCACAACCGCTTTTGAGAATTACATTTTTTAAAATATGTGTACAAAACGACACATAGGGAGTGGGGAACCAGTAATGTTTGGCTGCTCCCGGAGTGAAGAAAACAGGCTACAGCCTGCAGGAATGCATCAGAAATCGTTTCCACATTCATCTGGTCCTGAGCACTGCCATCCTGTGCACGGCTTGAGTACGGTAGGTCAGTGATGTGTCTAGTCCACATCCACGAAGAGGAGAAAAAGACTCTAAGTCAATTTATTGAGGTCTTGGCCCTGGGTGAGCTTGGGACTTTCTCTTGAAAGGCCTGGGTCGCTGCCTCCACTGTGCATAAGGGCCCCGGGGGTGCTGGGGGCGGGGGTAGCCCCTGTGAACAGGCGGTGGAGGGTGGCAGGGTGGGGGGAAGGGGGCCGTGGGAGGCCGGGGGTCAAATACGAAGTCGCTTTCCCAGGGGAATCCGGGCTGGGCAGGTAGGGGAGTGTCAGAGTGGAAATGACCAGGCGAGAACGGAGTGGGAGTGGGCGGGAAAGGGCAGTCCAAAGCGGAATAGGCCTCTTGGGAGCCAAACAGCCACGGGGGCATCATGGGGGGGCGGGGGGGTGGTGGGCAGGGCTCCAGGGGAGGCCAGGGCAGGCGGGGCGGAGAGGGGGGTACGGGGAGCAGGGGCTGGGGGAACGCTGGTGGCGGCGGGTAGGGGCTGACAGGGGGCTGCCTCGCACCTTCCCAGGCAGGTGTCTCCCTGGCACCTTCCCAGGCAGGCGTTTCCCTGGCACCTTCCCAGGCAGGCGTCTCCCTGGCACCTTCCCAGGCAGGCGTCCCCCTGGCACCTTCCCAGGCAGGCGTCTCCCTGGCACCTTCCCAGGCAGGCGTCTCCCTGGCACCTTCCCAGGCAGCTGTCTCCCTGGCAGGTTCCGTGTGGATCCACTTGCCCACGGGGTCGCGCTGGGGCAGGTCCACGCCCCAGGCGTCGGCCACGTGGGCCAGCAGCAGCTGCGTGAGCTGCCGGTGCGCGCGCTGGTTCCAGTGGACACCGTCCAGCTGCCGGTACTGATGCGCGTGGCGGAAGTGGAAGTGAAGGTCCAACACGTCGAAGTGGCGCTTCCCCGCCGCCGAGGAGCTGTAGAAGTTGGCTTCTAGCACCCGGGTCCGCAGGGACGTGGACCAGGCCTGGTGCTTGGGCGGGAGGACGCCGGCCGTGATGTGCTCGGCCACGGGCAGGGCCGTGTTCCACACCACCAGGCAGGACGCGGGCAGCACCTGGTCCAGGTGCTCGAACAGCCGCTCCAGGTTCTGCAGGTAGCTGTCCAGCGCCGACGGCCCGTACCGGGAGAGGTCCCAGAGGCAGGAGTTCATGATGACCAGGTCCGGGGCGTGCTCGCCCGAGCGCAGCTGCTCCAAGACCTCCTGGAGGTAGTCGGAGTAGACACGCGTGAGGAAGTAGAAGCGCACCAGGTGGTGCGCTGAGCGGAACTGGCGCACCTCGCGGTAGTGGGTGCCGTTGTGTAGGGGCAGCTGCTGGCCCCCCAACACCAGCTCGTCCTGCTCGAAGCTCTCCTCCCCCTTGGCCTTGAGCTGGCTGGTGGTGAGCAGGCAGTCTTTCTGCAGCAAGAGCACCAGGTCTTTGTACACAGCCCTCTGAACCGAGTCCCCGAGGACTACCACGAATTTGTTGTGGAGCAGCTGGCGGACTTCGGAGGCCCTCAAGTGGACCATGATGACCGGGGCTCACAGACTTTCTTTGCACTGGGCGGGTCTGCGGATTGCTAGGAAAGAAGGAGAGAGTGACCAGGAGGGACTCATCTTGGGTTGGGAAAGATCCACCCTGGAATGGTGGGGTTGTGGGCAGGGACCAAGGGGAGACACCCGAGTCTGGGTCTGCAGAGCCCAGGGGGAAGGGTTCCCATCACCTTAAACCTGGGAGTGCAGTCAGGGAGGAAATAAGAGAGGAGGACTAATCTCAGATGAGGCCTGGATTCCACCCCTCAACTCCCCGTTAGTTCTTAGGGGCTCAAGCCTATACCTGGCTGGGCACGGCCAACCTTAAGTTACCAGTTGCCCACCCCTAACCCCCCACCCCCACCCCACACACCTCCTTGCCCCCATCAGGAAGTCTGGTATCTGGAGAAAGGTTAGTGACTAAATAAGGGTACAAGGGTAGTGAGTCAGCCAGGACTTGGAAAATGTAATGTGATGTTAAATTTAAGAAATTGCATAACAGAAGTTTGCCTTTTATCACTGAGAAGAACTCGAATTAATATGTATAGATAGCATAAAAAGAAAACATGCAAACATAGTTAAGTAAAAAAAAAATAGCCTCTATTTTTTGGAAAACACATTTTAGTTTGGTTATCCTTTTAAGAATTTATAAATAATTAAGTAAGGGCTGGAAATAGGACAGAGATTAGGACACTTGCTTTAACCCAGGTGTTCCCTGAACCACATAAGATCCCTGGAATACTGCCAGGAGTGATTCTGAGCACAGAGCCAAGAGTAATCCCTGAGCAAGAAAAGAATTCAAGTGTCAGATCAGAAAACATTACAGTAAAACCAGATTAAAAAAAAAAAAAAACAAGGAAGCAGCTCTTTCTTGTTAGTAAAACTTGCAGGGGGGAAAAGGAATAAACTTGGAATAAATTCACAAGTTTCAACTATAGTTGGTTTTTTTTTTTATTTAAAGGGAATCAGAATATGACATCCCCAAATATGTCACATTAACATAGGATTATTTTGAGTTGAAGACAACTGAGCATCAACAGGTTTACAAGAGTTTTTTTGCACTCCCTTTTCTGCATGAAAGCTGAGCATAGAGCTCGCTGAAGGAAGGCACATCTTTCCTCCAGAGAGAGAAAAGCTTCAGGGGAAAAAAAAAGGGAATTGCTAACACCAAGATTAAGACTGAGTAAACAGACATTACCAAAACCACCTTTATTTTTCCCTTATGCATTTCCTAGTCACTTCCCTAACATTTATTATTCCTTTAGGCCTAAACCCTTTTCCTCATGTTAAAATGACATATAAAATGAATCCCTGAACTGATATAGGCAGGCAGGCAGGCAGATAAGGAAGACCCCCTCCCAAAAGCAATGGCTGTAAAACTCCAGGAAAGAATAATATCTGATAGCCCTGAAGTTGCAAAAGCCAACTGAGACTTCACCTGGCAACAGACCCAGAGAAGGCCAGAACCTTACAGAGCTGACAGACATCAGCAGAGACAAGAACGACAACAAAGACTGGAAGGAGACTCACTGGAAACTTCAAAGGGGTCCCTTTGTGAAGATATCTGGTCAAACCCCCATCTCCAAAGCAGCCCAGAGAATATAAGGCCAATTCAAGGTCTGTCTGTCTGTCTTTCTCCTCCCCTTTAAAACCTCCAAATAAAATCTGTTTTACTTCACTGCTTGTCTGCAAGAACCCCCGAAAACCCTGGGTAAAGCCTGGGACTGGCTTCTCCTTTCCTGCAAAGAGTAAATCCGCGCTCTAACCGAGTCCTCATCGCAGACTTTACCAGGCCAAGTCTTCCCAGCAGGACCCAGGTGACAGAGGCGGATGGGGAGAAAGTGACTGTCTTTCTCCTCCCTGCCTTACATAAGTCACCAGTGCGGTCCACCAACCTCAGGACCATTTCTTTCGTGAACTTTCATGCATATGAATGTTATTAAAAGCATATACCTTTTGTCAAGTTAGTTAGTTTTTTTTTTTTTTTGTAAATTCACAAAGACACTGAACCAATCAAGGTACAGGAAAATCTTTTCATCCACGAAAGAAAATAAGTTGTGAAAGTCATGTTCAAAATTTAAGTTAATGTCAAGCTGTATTTACAAGTCATATCCATTAACAAATAGATGGTAGAAACACTTCAACACCTCTAACAAACTTCAGACGGGGCAAAGTCATTCTCTTCATATACAGAAGCCATTCGAATTCACTGAGGAATTCACTGAGGTTGAGAGCTACAGGTTGTTAAGCATTAGTAAACATTTTAACATTTTAACAAGCGTGGGTGGATAACCATTGTTAAACTAAATTGTTAGATTAACAATTTAACCATTGTTAAATTAACAATTTAGTTTTTTTAAATTTAAATTGTTCAATTAAATTCATTTTTAAAAAAGCTTTACTATTGGTGGTTTTAAATTTAAATGGGTCCACGGGCAAAAATAAGAATATGAAAATCGGGCAAAATACACAAGAAAAGTAAGTGAAACATGAAAGTTGAAGACACTGGTTTGTTTCCCTCCAGAGAAACCTAAAGAAAATATTTTACTATCAGAAAGTTTAAAAATAGGATTTAGCTCCTTGTGATGCAACAAAACAAAATCAAAGCGTAATACACGCGTATTCACACTTGGTGGGGAGGATAAGAACGAGCAAACAGTATCAATCTCATGAGATGAGAACTATTTCTGATGGCTACCATGCAAAGTGCTGAGTGCTGTGGGCTGCAGGTCTTGGTCTTCGTGGTCCTTTATTCCGGCCACGTGCAGAACGTGACTGGAAAGAGAATGGAGTGACAGTCCAGTGTGTAGGGCATCTGCCTTGCAGGAGGCCATCTCGGGTTCAGTCCCTACACCGTACGGCTCCCCAAACCCACCAGAAATGACCCTTGAGTGTAGAGCCAGCATTAAGCCCAGAACACCACCAGCTGTGGTCCAACCCAACCCCATGCCCTGCCACTCCCCTCCCCGAAGAGAACATGATGGGGCAGCCTTTCCCTGGTGTTTCTGATGGAGGCAGGCAGATAGGGAAGGCCCCATCCCAAGGCAATGGCAGTAAATCTCCTGGGAATAGCCCTGACCTCATGGAGAACTGGTGCCAGTCTGTAACAGACCCAGAAGAGGCTGGACCAACCCCCTCCAACAGAATCTCCTGCAGAAACAAAAGTCAGGAAAGGAATTTCAAAGAAGACCATCACCACTCCCAACCCCTTGGTAACCTCCCTAGCAACGGACTTTCAACCAGGTACAAGCCCCACAAGGGGATAGGTTGGAGAAACCCTATAAAGGCCACCTTGAACAAAGGAAGGGAATATGCTGCCTGAGCCCATGTGCTGCCTGCTACCATGTGACAGAGCACATGTGGTGCCTGAGCACATGTGTTGCCCGAATCTCCCCTCTTGAGATGCGTGTAGGGCTCTCTCTCTCTTGAGCAGGTTACTCTTTCATGCTTTCATACCTAATGCTGAGATGTGGATAGGGCTCGCTCTCGCTCTCTCTCTCCCTCTCTCTCTCTCTCTCTCAGGGTACTCTCCACTCTATCCCACTTTGTCTCCCTCCTTCCCTTCAAAACCTCCAAATAAAAACTGTGTTATTTCACTGCTCGCTCATCTACTGATATTCCATTGTGAGGCAAGACAACAATCCACTAACCCCTGGGTCCCAGGTGGCAGAGGCGAATGGGGAGAAAGTGACCGTCTTTCTCCTCCCCACTTCACATAAGTCACCCATGGGGCCCACCGACATCATTTCCACAGTCGCTTTGCTTGTGTGCTGCACTAGGTCGTGCAGTGCCTTGTAGCCTACATGACAAGCTTCTGATAACCTGCAGTGCCGCAGACTGGCTCGGTAGAAGACCACCAGGCTGAGGGGAGACCAGGCGAAGGTGCACAGGAAGGCAGGAGATTTGGCGCGTTGGACAGACAGACACCAACACAAGAGAGGCTGAGTGCTGCTGCGGTTTATTGCATCCAGAGTTCTTCTTCTTATACAGTTACAGAAACAACGTGGCAAGGCACACATTACATCAGACCATGGGTCATGTTCCCAAAACATCAAGGGGCACGTACACGTTCTGCTTTAAGATTAGGACAGAACATCCGCTTGTCCCAATAAAATATCTGGGTGAAATATTATGTTCCTTACTACTCCTCTATTGTCTATTTTCACTGACATTTAAGTTTTTACTTCCCTAAAAACGCCTACCCATAACCTAAAAAAATCAGGACTTTACAAAAGCTAATATTAACTCTACTTTACTAGCAAGCATATTTCCAAGACCAAAAGTTAAATCAAAATATCTTAATACAAACTATATTATTAATCATCAAAATTAACTAACAGGCAGGCAGGCTGGCTTTCCATAGAAGGGCAAGTGAAGACTGTACGTCAGAGACGCCTGGAAAACAGAAAAGGGGGCTACTAGAGGCATAGACCCGTGGGCCGCGAACCTCCCATTCCCAGGGACCCAGGCCCTTGCCTGAGCCCCCTTGCAGCATGTTGCTACGCGGGCGACGCCGTAGCCGGCGTGGCACTGCAGTGACTCTCTTCAATTCCCATGTTTACATGGCCCAAAGCACTCCTCTGAAGAGGGGTCATAGACTTGAACTCACATAACAGTCAAATCCACTACACTGAAAAGGGCAGGACGGATCTTAAGTTTTGGTCCTCATAGCTTTGGGACAAAGGCAGATAAGGGTAGTCATGAGACAGATGGGGAAGATAACAGATTATCAGGGGCTTTTCAGAAGTGACCATCATTGAACCACAGGCTGACATCAAGAATGTCACGTACTGTTTTTTAGTTCTTGTTGGCCAACCATCCTGTTCTTATAAAATGCCTTTCTTAACCCTGTAAATATTTTATAGGCTATGTCTTGCAAAAGCTATGTACCCAAGAGCTCACTCACCACACCCTAATATGAGAAGGGGTCTCCCAAGAAGAATACCCCCCCCCTTTTTTGAGCATACCTGGGGATGCTCAGGGGCCATACCTGGTTC